CCAACACGACAACAATGTGCACTTCGCGATTTCGAGCTTCTCCTATTTCTTGCGCGTCCATTAAAGTAGCTCTGCACGCAGCATCCAGACGGGATGATCTTGACTGATCAAAGTAACGTGAAGAATCGAACGATTACTCCCTCGAGCAATTACTTCCCCTGTTCTTTCTGTTATTCTTTTATTATCATTTCGTAAACGTGCGGAGGAAGCTCGAGAATACCTGATTTATTGAGCTAATTTAAACGATACGTCAGTCGACTCACAGCTGATTCTGCGCCCACGCAATTCGGGATCGATCGAATCCTAATTCTTCTTCAATCTTGTCCATTCTTTTTTCGTAGCTTTTTTATTTTTATTTTTTTTTTTCTAACCTGCCCCTGGATATTATACCGATTAGAGGGACGTGACGTAACGCCGCTTTAGGGTTGCGCCTGAAAGATTGGTTCGCATCAACACAGCCAGTCAGTGTAAATCGATCCTCTTGGGAAGATCGATAGCCGTTTGGTAATGGATTAAAATATTATTGTGTAATTCTTTAAAACTCCTGCTCAGCTCGCTCGTTTTTACCGCCGATAAACGAAAAGACTCTCCAAAGTCATTATTCAGACTTGTTGCAGAAATGTTTCTTCCTGTTTAAACACAGCCCTTGAGGACTTCGTTTTCTCGTACTCTAACTGCCATTACTATTTTACGGCTTCAGCTGCTGAAATTATCCGCTAACGTCACGATAGACGATCAATCAGATCTTTATGTTTTTCCCATGAGACCCCGTGCACACCTTTTCTCTTCCACTTTGAACGTTACTGACTCGGTGATGCAGCCAACTGCCTGGCGTCCCTTCCGGCGGCTCTGACGTTCGCGGCACTTGTGTCTGCAGTGGCTCCACCTGCCTTCCGGAAAGAGGAGAAACGGAGACCGTGCTCCAATTTCCAGCGCAGCACTTTTCCTGGCCTTCGCCGGAATCTAAGGTGCTCGAGATACGAGTGTTTCATGGTTCGTTTCCAGTTTCCACAAAGTCTTTTTAGTCGCGCATACTTTGCCTGTATTTCCGTTCAGAATTCCTCGCCTTTTCTCTCCTCTTGCCGGTTTACACCATTCTCCATACATATAGGTATATACTATTCTCTGGCAGGACCACTTGAGCGGGGGTGGGGGGCACTTATCTCGCGGCTATGTATTCCGTAGCCGTTACTCCACAATTACGCTGCTACTTAGTGGCTTCGTTACGCCAGAACTCATTTTGAATTCACATTTTCTTTCTTATTGGTCCAGCCAATATCTTCTTTCACGTGAATTATTCTTTTACCAATTAGAAAAGAGTACTGCTAGTCGACGATACAGTTTTCTTGCTTCTTATCGATTGGCTGCAATCGGAGGCATATTGGATTTTCCGGCAATCGTCGTCTCCTTGTAAACTTCCGTTTTCTATCAGAACTTTTATTTAACAGAATTTCCGGCCGTGGCGTCAGGCTCTGCTCGTTTTATCGATTTCGAGTATCACGATATTCGGTCTGTTCGGTGATAAATTAAATTTGTAGCTTTCTTCCGCATCACCCCTTTCACTCTTTTTTTCGTAGAATAAAAATACGCAAGAAATTTCTACGACAGCTTTTCTTTTATGCCGGCTTTGAATTCTCATCAGGTAGGGTAGGACAAAAGTCCCAAAGATATTGGATGCCACCTGGCGAATCTTCCATTAAATTCTAGCCGATCGTACCTGTTTCAGGACCATAAGGGCACTCAACTCTATCTGGGGATCAACCACTGTGGAATTTTGACGTTTCAAGGCTCGAGGAAGACGCACCACTTCCGCTGGCCGGAAGTCCAGAAGATCAACTACGAGGGCAAGATGTTCATTGTGCACTTGACCATCAACGAGGTGAGTTTCAGGTAGACACGCGATGATTGTCAGTACACAGGATATTGACAGTAGAAAGATTCGAGTTGGGTAATCGAATTGGGAAATGTGTGACGTCGTTGAAACGTCCAATCAAAATCTTTAAATGGAAGCTTCATCTTTTTTCCTCTCTCCGGTACAGTATCAGTTATCCTATAATGCTACCATCGCATGGTAAACTACAGCTCTTTTAAAAAATTTAAATCAATAAATCGATCGCACTGGAGTTTCAAGCGACTTACAGAATTATAAATACCAAAGTGTGTCTGGTGCGTCCCTCGTGACGTTACTCGCAAGGACACATGTTATTACAAATTGACGATCCGTTGAGAATTATTACTGTCAGAGTATATCCTTCGAATGGGATGAATTAGTAAAAAGTCACAATACATAAATAATAAAGAATTAAATATTCTCCATGAACGACGAACCCACAGCCATTGGGAAGCCACACCATTTCTTTTTTATCTATAGAAAAAATAATAATTACGTAAAGAATCTTGAGGTCTTGCAGATACCAAAGCCTTTTTCGTTTATTTCTCCATTACCACGTGGTCGCATTAATTCAACACTGTTGAAGTCTTTGATCGACCTTAACCTCGCTCGATTTACCAAAGCGTTTCGCAACTCGAAATTCTCTATACGCAGATGCTGCACGTTACACGAGCGCACATATAACTGAGGAAGATTGTTAGTCAGCGAAGTTATGCAAAAGCTGAAGTCCCTCGGTTCGGTTTCTAACATAAGCACGAATACCAGTCGACTGATTCAAGCACATTCTCCCAGTTCGTGAAAAGATAACGAAAGGGGCTGCACAACTTATGTATTACGTGTACGAGCCGCTGCTCACGCTATACATAGAACACGAGTCGAGTAATCCAATTATTTTCCACTGCGCATTATCCAGGACTTGAGGACGAAGGTGAGTCGTTTTGTTATGCTCTAGTGCGGCCAGAACTCTAGCGTCAATAGTATCGAACTGTCTAGCTGGCCTAGCTGTGGTCTAGCTGTGGTCTAGTTCTTTCGTCAGTGGAAAGGAACACATAACACTTTAGTCAGTTAATTGGGAATATTTATTTAGTGAATATTCGAGAAATACGTGTGTCGTTCTTCCTTACGACAGACAAACGGAAGGAGAGGGAGTTGGAAGGAATTGACTTTCGTAAGTTTCATAGGAAACCTCGTACTGCTAAAAATTTGCTAGATGCTAAAGAAGCTCCTATGAAATACTATACTGAGGCAATTAGCGAGTGCAGAGAAAAGGATTAGACGTGGCACTGGTATATAAAATCAGAGAATTCCATAAATCATTGTTTTAGATGAAGTCTTAATAGCTTAGATTATTTATTAATCGCGTAGACATATTAATATACAGTCGCTTATGTAGATCATTCCATGTGTGCCTCGTTATCACGGATTTTCAGAAAAAACACACCGTTGGATTTAAATGTCCCACGGGATCGAACTGCCGTCACGTTTGGAGATGCGCCATCGAGCAAATGCTGTTCTTCACGTGAGTACCGAATTCTATTTCTCTATCACCTGTCTAACTCACAAAGCAATATCAATGTCCTCGTTAAGCGATTGTAATGTCATCGTTATGTCCTCGATACTGTCTAATGCCCAATGCCTATAGTATCTAACGCCTAGTGCCTAATGCCTAGTGCCTAGTGCCACGGTATTAGAAATAAGTAGATGAGCTGCAATAGCGATTAGATGGTATAATAAGTACAAGAGACTCTAGATAGCATCGCGACTTGTTAATATTTAGAAGCAGATCCTTGTAGACTTTTGAATCGGCGACATTGTCACGTCTGCCTGGTCTCATTACGATGTTACGTCATGATTGTATTTGCAAGGTGAAAAATGAAGAAACAGGGCAAGAAAAAGTGTCAGTCATGTTCCGAAGAGCCGGGTTAATTAGTCTGCAAGACGTTGAAGGAGAAGAAGAAGTTTCGGTACGAACTTCGTTACCCGGCAGTAAGTCCTAACCGGAAACGAAGTCCTCAACGTGAACTGATCGCTGCTCTAAATTGTGCACCGACTCTGAGATGTAATTTTGGCAACAAGATCAAAAGAGTCGTAAAGAGCTCGGGCGGCCGGGCGTGTCTAATCGGAACAGGTCGCCGTGATCTCGATTATCGAATCAGGAATTCTAGACGACAGAAACTCCCGTTACAAGTTTTTCCCTGCTTCCGGTGGAAATGACCTGTTGTGTTAGGGTAGTTCGCTTTTGTCTCTGTCAGTGGTTCGGCTGTCATCCAAACAATGGAAAGTCGACACTGGGACACTCGCGCTCCGGACTCGTCACAGTAGTCCCTCCGCCTCTTCCCTCTTTTCGAATGCATATGCAGTGGCGTATTCACCAACCACCCACCCACCCACTCACCTACCGACGCCGTGCTGCACGGACGCCTCGTACTTGTTGAGTACTTTCAAATTGAAATCTTCCTCGCGCTTGGCCTCCTGCGATTCCCATTGCGTGATAGTGACTGGCTCTTCCCGTCGAGCAAAAGAAATCGCTACGAACTGACGATGCATCAGGGATGCTGGATGCATTTAGATTTATCTTCTTATTTTCATTCTTCCTGCTTCGCCATCAATCTGTCCACGTCCGTTAGCGTCTTCGTTCTCGAAGTTGGTTGAAGTTACGCGGTGTGTGACGTCACTTTTGAAAATTCAATTATCCAGCTCGGCCGAATTGCCAATCGATGTGGTGGAGGGGGGG